CAGGAAAGGAGAGAGATCCACTGAAGCTTGAGCTGAGCTTCCCCATCACGCATGCACATCCCTGTTCCTTTAGTCATTCAACGAACCTTTATGGAGTCCCTACTTTGTGCCAGGCGTGGTGCTGGGAGCTAGGCATGCGTCTATGTACAAGAGAAAGTCCTGGGGAGGGGGGGGTGAGGTGACTGGGTGATGGGCACGAAGGAGGGCATGTGATGGAATGAGCACTTCACTAAATTCTACCCTGAACCCATCATACAGTATATGTTAACTACATTGAATTTAAATAAAGAATTTTAAAAAAGAGAAAGTCCTGCCTGCACAGAGCTCACAATGTGATGAGCAACTCTGACAATAGAGACCAACAAGGAAACACAAAAGATCAAGGTGCACAACTGCTCTGATGGAACCTAAGGAGGTAGGAGGGGCAAGCTGTGTAGGGGGGGCGCTTTCTACAGGGCAGTGAAGGGAGCAGCAAGCCATTCAGATGGGGTCAGAGTGAATCCCAGAGTTTTAAATTCCAGGTCTGCCACTGCCGTGAGGCCTTGAACAATCCCTTCTCCTCTCTGTGCCTCAGTTTACTCATCTGCATGATTGGGATAATAGTATCTATCTGTAGGGTTGTGGAGAGGAGTAAATGAGTTAATATCAGTGAAGTGTTTAGACAGTGCCCGGCACGTTATTAGTAAGTGCTAGAAGTGTCTGCTGCTTTGACTTTCTTGCAGAGGGAATGGCAAGAGGTGGAGAAGCACCTAGAATGTTGTAGGAGGAACAAGGTCAAGAGTAAACAAGGTGGGCATTCCCGGTGGCCCAGAGGTTTAGCGCTGCCTTCAGCCCAGGACATGATCCCGGAGACCTGGGATCGAGTCCCACGTCGGGCTCCCTGCATGGAGCCTGCTTCTCCCTCTGCCTGTGTCTCTGTCTCTCTGTGTCTCTCATGAATAAATAAATAAAATCTTAAAAAAAAAAAAAAAGAGTAAACAAGGGGAGTGTGGCGACGAGTGAAGTTAGGAAGGCGGGGGTATGGGTAGCTACCCCTCCATGGCCAGACATCCTCCAGGGTCAGCCTGGCCCCCTGATGGCTCAAAAGCTTGCCATGGCTCCCAACTGCCTATCCATGAAATTCCCACCTCCCGGCGTGGTTTTCAAGGATCTCTACATCTCAGCTGCGTCTCTCTCTCCTTCCAACCTGATGTGCCTGCTTCCCACCCCACCATCTGCTCAGTTCAGTTGGAGCCTCTTCTTCCAGAAGTGCTTGGTGTCTGCTCAGCCAGGCTCTTCCTTTCATAGGGGGGCCTGGAGCCCAGAGAGGGATGTGACTAAGCCTGGGCCACACAGCAGACTAGGGGCCACGTTGGGAGCCCAGGTTTTCATGATGGGACCACAGTTTCTGGTGGGTCATTTTAACAGACGTCGTGTGTCTCACAGTGTCACTTGAGTTGAGGAAAGTGTGGAGAGGCAGGGAATGAGGAGGTGGAATCCACTAATAGAAATTACTTCTCCCACAAATACATTTGTGTCCGGGCCCCTTTAGTGCTCAGCATACTGTTCCTGAGAAACAGAAGCCATTCGTGAGGCCGGGACATGGCGGGAGCAGATAGGCTCCATCTGCCTTTGCTTGTGTCCATCCACCGCTCCCCTGGGAGAGCCGAGATCGCTCTGTGCTCCTGGCTGTTGTTCAGGCTCCACGGTTCTGCTAGGGAGCAATGGCAAAGCCTGCCACAGCAGCCTGAGGAGGAGTAAGCTTTAGAAAGGGCAGGCCGAGCGGAAAAGATGCCATTCACCACTTGAAAATCTGTATTAGTCTATTAGGGCTGCCATAACAAATACCAGACTGGAGTCATACATATATATAAAGATTTTATTGATTTATTCATAAGAGACAGGCAGAGACAAAGGCAGAGGGAGAAGCAGGCTTCCTGCAGGGAACCCCATGTGGGACTCGATTCCAGGAGCCCAGGATCATGACCTGAGCCACCCAAGTGCCCCCAGACTGGGGTCTTAATAGAAATTAGCCTCCTCACACTTTTGGAGGCTGAAAGTCCAAGGTCAAGGTGCCCCTGAGTAGGTTTCCTCTGTGGTTTATTTTATGTATTTGTTTATTTATTTGTTTATTTAAAGATTTTATTTATTTATTCATAGGGGCCCCGGGGGTGGGGGGTGGTGGAGAGGCAGAGGGAGAAGCAGGCTCCATGAAGGAAGCCTGATGCAGGACTTGATCCTGGGACCCCAGGGTCACACACCCTGGGCCAAAGGCAGGGGCTAAACTGCTGAGCCACCCAGGGATCCCCCTCTTCTGTGTTTTAGAGATAGCCTCTTCATTGCCTCTCACGTGGTCTGTTCTCTATGGGCACACATCCTCTGTGTCTCTTTGTGTGTCCAAATTTCCTCTTTTATCAGGATACCAATCAGATGGGATTAGGGACCACAGTGACAGCCTTATTTTAAGTGAATCACTTATTTAAAAGCCCTCTCTTCAAATAGAGTGACATTCTGAGGTACCACAGGGGTTGGGTTTCCACATACAAATTTTGTGTGTGTGCGGCGGTGGGGGGCGGGGGCACAACGTAGCCCATAACAAAACCAAACACCGGGCACTGAAGGGGACACTTGATGGGATGAGCACTGGGTGTTATTCTGTATGTTGGTAAATTGAACACCAATAAAAAATAAATTTAGTATTAAAAAAAAAGAAAAACAAACACCAACCAATGCTTATTCCTGGGCAGGACTGCAAAGATTGAGGACTACCAGGAGGGAGGCATCAAGAGTTGGGAATTCTGGGAAAGTTTCCTGGAAAAGAGAAACTTGGAGTTTTGGGCAAAAGAAAGAAGCCATTTACAAGTGCCTGGACACACATGCAGGATATGTTCTGGGGAAGACAAGTGAGTTGTTTAGGATGGTCCTAGGGGCTGATGGTGGTTCTAGGGGGTGAGTGAACCGGGGGGGGTGGGGGAAGGTGAGCTGTGAAAGGCCTGGGATCACAGAAGAAGGGTTTGGGCTTGATTCTATGGCAGTAGGCAGCCCCTCATGATACCCTTGAGCATAAGAAAGATGGTAACTGTGGTTTAGGCCAGAATCAGGAAAATGACAGATTAATGGTTTTCAAATTTGAGCATGCAGCAGAATCACTCGGAGGGCTGGTTATACCAAATTGCTGGACCCAGTCTCCAGGGGTCTTAATTCAGTGGGTCTGGGTGGGTGGAACTTGAGAATTTGCGTTTCTGACAAGCGCTATAAGTTTAGTGCCCACCTTCATTGCCACTTTCATTGGCAGTTGCAAATACAGTTGCAAATACAAGTTATGAGTATCACTGGAGAGGGTTTCAGAACCAGTAGCGCAGCAGTCACCTGCTCTGCCTACTGCCAATTATCAATGGTAGAAAAAGAAAGCTGACTTCAAAAATTACCAGGGGATCCTGCTAAAGCTGTGTATCTCAACATGACAACCGCTGGAAGCTTTGCTGGAGGCCAAGATGGGCAGTGGGGAGAGGGCAGGGAGGGGTCTGTTTCATCTCCCGAAGAATCCCACGCTCAAGGGTGGAAGGTAACGCCCCCACCAACTGGCACACTTTGCAGACACGGGAACTGAAGCCCTGAAGGTGACAGCTTTAGTAGGGGGTATTTCCAGGCCCTGAGCCGAGAACCTTGGTTCTGGGTGGCCCTGGCATCCAGCGCTTTGTGCAGGAAGGCTCCCGGGGCACCTCCTCCTGGGTCCACCGGGCCAGGCCCCTGCGAGGGCACTGCCATTTGGGGTTGGAAAACAGGTCCCAAAGAGCTGGGTCTCTCGGAGCAGGCAAAGGACAGCTGGGCAGCGAGCCCGAGCAGGGGGCGGAGCTTTCCCGCAGTTCTGCGGGAAGGCAGCCCCGGCCCCGCCCCGCGCAGCGCAGGCCCCGCCCCCGCCCCGCCCACACAACCCAGGCCCCGCCCCGTTCCCCGCCCCGTGCAACCCGGCCCCGCCCCCACGCAACACAGGCCTCGCCCCCGCCCCGCCCCGCTCCTGCCCCGCCCCGCTCCTTCCTCGCCCCCGTGCAACCCCGGCCCCGCCCCCGCCCCACATGCGGCCCCGCCTCCCTCTGGGTGGTGTCCTCAAGCCGGTGCCGCGAGTGTGGCCGCCTGCCTGGCTCCGCTGGTCTGGCTGAGTCAGGCTCTGCTGCCAGCATAGTGACCCTGGAACAGCTGAGAATGGGGACTGGCGACAAACAGGAGGGAGAGGAAGGGGTGTGGCCAGGTTGGGGAAGGAGCGCTGGACCAGGAGCTGGCCCACCAGATTCCTATGGGAGCCTCCTCTTGGAGGACTGTGTGACCGAAAAGAACTCGCTGAACCTCTCTGGGCTGCACTCATGCAAGGAAAACTTACAGTAGACTTGGTGTGCGCCCGGGGCTGGGGCTGCTGCGGTGACCAGGACCCACGTGGCATAGAAGCCCTGGTTAAGGATGTGACCTCGGAAACCTTTTCCTAAGGAAAGCTACCCCAGTAGCTTTCACACCCTACTGACTGGGTGACCTTGGGCAGGATAACCAACCTCTCTGTACTTCATTATCCTCATGGGTAGTTTGGTAGTAACACCTGCTCACGGGGCTGTGAGGATTAAATATATGCGTAGGTGTGAAATCCTAGGACTAGTGTCTATTAGGCACTATTATTAAGTGTATAAGACCCTTCATTATTAGCTATTGCTATCTTTACCCTCCTGGAGCTTGTATTCACTGACTTTAATCTTAAAATTTCTTTTTTATTATGAACCATCTGATATATAAAAAAGAACACTAACAGTGTGTTCCCATCCCCCTATTTAAGAAATAAAGCATTATAAATCCACTCTCTTTGCTCTAACTTTAGTCAAGCCTTGATATTTCCTGCTTCCAAAGCCTCTGAAATCTGCTGCCTCCGACCCATCCTCTGCAGTGCTCGCAGTCTGGGTGAGATCCACATCAAACACAAATGGGACCTGGCCATGACTCTGCTTGAAAATGTCCACCTATAAGATGAAGATAAAGTCATACACACCCCCTTCACTTCTGATCCTCACTGACTCTTCCTGTTTGGTCTCTGCCACCCACTTTGGTAAGTTCCTCTTACTATTTCTTAAATATCTCTGTTCTTTGTGTATGTTGGCCCCTCTCTCTGGGGTCCTGTGCATTCCTTTCCTCTCTCACTCATTCCAGGAGAAACACCATCTTTTGAATCCCCCCGGGCTCCTGAGCACCTTCCCCACTGCTGTGTGTGTGTGTCCATCTGTCCAGTGTCTGTCCGTCCTCCCCTAGACTGTAAGCTCCTGGCAGTGGGCCCTCCAATGACTCATTTTCATCTGCTCCTAGTAAAGGAAAGGCATGTCCTACACTACAGTTGTAGTTGACTGTAGTTGACTGTGTCTGGGGCACCCTGTCCTAGGGTGTCCATCCAGTGACTCCAATGCCATCCTTTTCATGGGATGACATTACAGTCCCTCAGCAGTAAAACCACTGGGGAAGAATACAGAGATTGTTAAATGGGGTCCCCATTTTAAAGTCACTCCAGCACAGTGCCGTTTTCCTACTGTGCCCAGTCCCCCTTCCGAGCCCGTTCCTACTACTTCCCGCTTCTTGCTCCATCCCTGTCTCCTCTCACTGAGGACACTGGGTTCCTCATGAGGAGTGGATCTTCCCCAGGGACTAAGATACAGGACATGCAGTGACCGTGTCATGGATCCAAGAGGCTTGTGGATTTGGGGAAACCGAGTGGATGCCAAGCCTGGCTCCAGAGAGCCCAGGTTCTAGGAGCAGAGAAGAAATGCTCCCAGCCTGTTTCTAACCGGTCAGCTATATTTGCGAAGCAGATTCTTTTCACAGAAAGAGGGAAACCAAAGTCCCCATTTAAGCAAATTGGAAATAAACTGGCAAGTGTCCCCGAACTCTAAGGAGGAAGCTAGAGGGAGCTGGATGGAGGGGGGAAGGGGAAGGGAGGGTGAGGAGAAAAGAAGACACTTCTATGCCTCCATGGATATTTTGAATTTTGTACTATATTCACATCTGACCTATATTTTCAGAAATGAAATCATACATTGGGTGGTAATCAGAAAAGCTAGGTTCCAGTGTTGCAAATGCCAATTACCAGTCTGCTCACCTGGGTCTCCCTGAGCCTCACTTTAATAACCACCCAGTTCCCAGCTCAAAGAGTAGGTACAAGGAAGACCTTTTTAAACTTGGTGGGGCTGGGCACATTTAATTATTATTTACTCTTCATTCAGCTCGTCTCAGTAGACAATAACTGAGCCCTTCTCTATGGCCACAGTGTATGGGTCTCTCTGTATGAGCGTGGGTGTGTGTGTCTGGGTATGAGTGCGTGGGTCTGGGTGTGTGCGCTTCTGGACATGTCAGGGTGGCGTGTGGGATGACTGTGAAGTTGGCCATCACAGGATCCCTGCCTAAAGGAGCTTTGGCACAGCAGGACAGGTGACCAAGTAAACAATGTCCTCTCGAACACCTCTTGAACTCAACACTCTTGAATCCTGTTAAAGGCCAAGCAAGGGGATGAAAAATGTGGGTGCACAGGGGAGGGAACATAAATTTAGGCAGGGGCCTTTGCACTGGCTGTTCCCCCTACTGTTCCCCCAGGATCCTCAAGGCCCACCCCCTTGCATCCTCCAACTCTTTGAGCAGATGTCACTTTCTCAAGGAGGCCCACTTGGGATGCCTGGGTGGCTCAGTGGTTGAGTGTCTGCCTTTGGCTCAGGGCGTGATCCTGGGGTCCTGGGGTCTAGTCCCTCATTGGGCTCCCTGCATGGAGCCTGCTTGTCCCTCTGCCTATGTCTCTGCCCCTCTCTCTGTGTCTCTCTTGAATAAGTAAATAGAATCTTTAAAAAAAAAAAAAAAGACCCACTTGACTGCCTTGTTTAAATAGCAACTCCAACCTGCACTCATGGAACTCGCCTCTTTTATTTTTAGCCAAAGGCCTCATTTTCAATGACAGTAAAGTTACCTATAATAAAACTAACTTGAAATACTGTGTATTTTACTCATTTTAATTATGTTTCCTTCATGTCCTTCATTAGAATGAAAGGGACCATGTCTGTTTTGTTCACTGCCATGCATCACCCCACTCCGCCTGGAGCCTAGAACAGTACCTGGCATAGAGGAGGTCGCTCAGTACGTATCTGGGAATATGGTAGTGATGGGGTGGTGCTCAAGGGTGGATGGCAGAGTGGCCGTGGCCATGTCTGTGTCCAAGGCTACAGCCGTGGACTAAGGGAGCGCCCTGTGATGTGGGATTGATGAGCTGTGGATGGTGGAAGTGGGAATGCTCCAGTGGGCACGGGGAGGAAGATCTGGCCTGGAGAAAACCTGAAACATTTTGGGGGACATTCTGTAAGCTCCAAATTCCAGCTCAGTGGGCATCCCTTCCCTCTGCTACTCTGAGAAACTAAGCCTGTTGATGTGGAGGAGGGGAGATTCAGGGGCCCTGCTGGTTTGTTGGGGAAGGTGATGGTGGACCCATTTGTGAAAACCAAAGCCCACTGGTAGGTCCCTTGCCTATGAGAGAGAACCTGTGGTGGTGGTGGTGGTGGTGGGGGTAGGTGTTGAGAAGGTAGGAGACAGCAGAAGTCCCTGTGCTGGTGATGGTGGTGGCTGGATTGTAGACTCAGAGCAGAGATGTTTCTGTGAGTGTCAAGGACAGAGAGTAAGGCCCTGGTAGAGAGCACTCTTAGGGCCAGAGAAGAAATAAAGCAGACACTGAGGCCAGGTTGGGAAGGGCCCTGAAGACCAGGCCAAGGAGTCAGTAGAGAACTGTGGAGGTCCAGGGAACATACGAGTATCTGGAGCTGAGAGTAGGAAGTGAGCAGCAAAGGAAGGAAGCTGCATTTGGGAAGAATTGCCACTCAGAAGTCTCTTCCAATCTTTACAGAAGAGGAGGAGGAGGCGGCATGCTGTCTAGGGCTTGTAGACAGAGAAGAGGGCAGAATGAGCATTTCACTTTGGTGGCCTATTCATTGACTTAGTGTGTCTGGACTCTATGCTGGGGCCTGGGGGTGCCATGAGGAATCAGTCCTAAACTTTGACCCCATGTAAGGGAGAGGATGCCCCGGGTGAGATGTGATAGCATCAAAGAGGCTGTGATTATGCCCAGCTCAGAGACCAGGGAGGGCTGCCTGGAGAGGAGGCATCTGAGCTGGGCACTGAATGATGGTCTGGGGTTTGAAAGACAGTTGATCCGTAGGAGACGACTTTTGACTTAGGAGCCCCAAACCAAGGGGTTTTGATATGCACTAACTGTTGTATTTAATTCCCCTAGCTATTCTCAGAAGAGGTAGCCAAGGCAGAGGAGGGGATTTATTTAATGGATGAGGAAATAAAGATCTTGGGACCAAATCCATAGAGGGTAAGTGCCCAGCCCTAGGTCACTAGCCTGAAAATAGCAGTTGCTTGGAACCCAGGGCTGTTGGACTTCCAGCCAAGTGCTCACCCTGCAAGTCCACAGCAGCCTCTGGCTATTTGGAGTTCTAGTCACTGTGGCTTTCCAAGGTGTGATGGAGAAGCTGTCAGCTAATCTTCAGCTCCCAGGATTTTTTTTTTTAAGATTTTATTTATTTATTCATGAGACACACACACACACACACACACACACACACACACAGAGAGAGAGAGAGAGAGAGAGAGAGAGAGAGAGAGAGAGGCAGAGATACAGGCAGAGGGAGAAGCAGGCTCCATGCAGGGAGCCCGATGTGGGACTTGATCCCTGGTCACCAGGATCAGGCCCCGGGCGGAAGGCGGGGCTAAACCGCTGAGCCTCCTGGGCTGCCCAGCTCACAGGATCTTGATCTGCTTCCACCTGACCCCGCAGAGAGGATCCAGGACACAGACCAGTGACCTAGTCTCAGCTCCTCAGTGGTCAGCCAAGGGCAGTCACAGGCCGGGGGGAGACTGAGTCTGGGGGCTTGTGGCTGAGATGTCCTGGCTGTAGTCTTCAAGGCATGTCACCCACCCAGGGCCTTCGAGTCTGCTTCACCATCAAATGGGGACACCATTCACCCCAGCATTTCCCACCTTTGGTGAACCAAGAAACTGAGGGCGTAAACTGAGGGAACATAAATTCAGGCAGGGGCCTTTGCACTGGCTGTTCCCCCTACCGTTCCCCCGGGAATCCTCAAGGCCCACCCCCTTGCATCCTCCAACTCCTCCAACCTGGAGCCTGACTATCCCAGAGAGCAGTGAGCCCTGTTGGCTTTGAGGGGCTGGGGGTTGCCTGCAACACTTGCGTGATTACGAGAATGCAACCACTCTGCCTCCTGCAAGCTAACTTTCTCTGAGCCCTCACCGGGCCCAGAGCTAAGTGCTTTCTGCACGGTAATTCATTGACTGGAGCATGGATTGGCAAACGCTGGAAGGAGAACTATCATCAATATGTACAGTCTGTGAAGATGATGAAGTGGGCTCACAGAGCATTGTGATTAATGGATCCAGAAGTCTCTGAGAGCAACGGGGAGCTTTGCAGACCGTGTGCCCTGGCTCCTTGGCACAACTCTGGTCCTTCGCTTCCTTCATTTGAGTGACTGACGTCCTCAGTACACAGGCAGCCAGCTCCCTACCCTCAGCCCCCAACCCCTGGATGAGGTATTTAGGCCCCGAGCCAGGCCAGCTCTAAGATTCCTATTCCCGGGCAGCTCGGCTACAGCCCCAGGAGGACAGCCAACAAGGGGCCCAGCAGCTTATCGCTCTGCAGAGAGTCTCCAGCGGGCAGACTGTCTCCACTGCTGCTGAGCCAAGCTGATAATGAGGACAGACCCTTGTGTTTACTGTGGCTGGGAGAGTGGGGCCTCCTGGGGGCGGCCCTGGCTCCTCTGGGAACAGACTGTCTGTTTGCTGAGATACCATCGCATTCCTGCAGCCGCAGCCACCCCAGGATGGATGGTGGGGGGAGGTGGGCGCGGGGAGGGGAGGAGGAAATAGGACAGCTGCTGGCCCTTTGCTCCCCTGGGGCCCACATGGAGAAGGCTGCCTTACTGGGTCCTGGCGTGGGGGGTGGGGATGGGGGGGTCTATGGTTTTCTGGCCTGCTTGTTAAGTACTTCATAAAGGTCAGTAATAGCCAACGCGGGCACTCCCCTCTACAGTTTACAAGTCATTTTCTCAACAATTGTCTATTTTGCTCTTCCTGAACCTTCTGTGTAGGTAGTCTGGGGTGATGATGTTTCACAGGACAGAGCTGCGTAGGCAGGTAGGAGCAGAGGCCGACAGCATGGCCCCTGACCGGGCCAACCCGCCATAGTAGCTAACACTTAGAGTGCTTACTGTGTGGCAGTGACTGTCAAAAGCTCATGAAATGTGTTAGCTTGTTTCTTCTTCACCAACCACCCCTATGAGGTAGGTGCTATCAATATGTCCGTTTTACAGATGGGGAAATTGGGGTAGACCCTGGCAGAAAGTTGGAAGGCTGGGATTTGAACCCCAGTAGCATGGCTGCAGAATCTGCAATTTAACCACAGGGCTGCACATCCAGCTTAAAGCCCACTAGTGATAGATAGCTTTTGGACTGGTTTACAGAGGCAGATTTGGGATTAGGCCTGGGGTCAATACCCAGAGCTGACACCAATGAACCCCCGAGGCCAAGCCTCCCACAAGTCTCTGTTTCCTCCTCTGGAAAGTAGAAATGATGCCTGCCTTGGCAGTGGGGGTGAGAAATGCTGGGTGAGAAGGTTCTGGCACATGGCAGATTTTCTTTTCTTTTCTTTTTTATTAAATATTTGATTTATTTATTCATGAGAGAGAGAGGGGCAGAGATATAGGCAGAGGGAGAAGCAGGCTCCATGCAGGGAGTCTGATGTGGGACTCGATCCTGGGTCTCCAGGACCATGCCCTGGGCTGAAGGCGGTGCTAAACCACTGAGCCATCCAGGGATTCCCCCCAGATTTTCATTAAATAATTATTATTATGACTTTGGCAGCCGAGTTGGGGAGGGGTCTGCCCAAAACTGAGACTTCAGACAACTATCTCTTCAAAGAGAAGCCCAATCTTCCTCTGCTATGGGAGCACAGGGGAGGAGGGACATCTAGTTGAAGGGATCTGGTGGCTTCAGAGGAGGCCCCATAAGTGAGTGGTTGGGACTCTGGCTTCAGATCTTGGCTGACTTGAATTCAAGTTCCAATATCCAGCGTGTGCTCTCTGGGTGGCCTTAGGGAGTTGCTTAACTTGTCTGCAAGATGAGAACACTGATAGAACTTTCCTCGAAGGGGTGTGAGAATGGGTGAGATCATTCAGGGAAAGGAGCACTGTGCACACTGGCTGGCATATAGTATGTGCTCAATAAAATGTGGTTGCCATCAGTGGTCGTGGAGGGGGTGGTAGAGCAGTGGCCCCCAGCAAAGGCATCCATGTGCTAGTACCCAGAACCTGTGAATATGTAAGGTGACATGGACAGGGGGGTTGTGCTTGCTGCTGGACTTGAGGTTGCTAGTCAGCTGGCCCTGAGATGGGGAGATTATCCTGGCTTGTCAATGTGGACCCACTGTAAGGTAATAAAATTTGAGTTGTTTAAAGCTGCTAAGTTTGTGATAATTTGTTATCGCAGCAAAAGGAAGCTAATACAGGGTATAAGTTGGTGCTTGAAGACTGGCAGAATGATAACAAGCCGAGGCAGGGCTCAGATGTATGAGAAGAAACTATACCCAATGGCCTTGAGGCTAGAAAGCACAAAGTATTTTTTTAAAAAAGATTTTGTTCATTCATTCATAAGAGACAGAAAGAGAGAGGCAGACAGGCAGAGGGAGAAGCAGGCTTCATGCAGGGAGCCTGACATGGGACTCGATCCCAGGTCTCCGGGATCATACCCTGGGCCGAAGGCAGATGCTCAATTGCCGAGCTCCCCAGGCGTCCCAGCACAAAGCATTTTTGAGGACTGGTGGGCAAGTCTGTTTGGTTCTTTGCAAAAATGGACACAATTCTCCATCCTTGCTCATATGCCCTTTGCATTGTAACTGGGCGACTCTCCTCAACAAGAGATGGAGTCCACCTCCCCCATGCCTCGACTGTGTGCTTGGCCCTATGGCTTGCTTTGCCAAACATATACACGTTCTGAGCCTGGGCCACAGGAGGTTTTATACACCTCTGCACTCACTCTTGTGGATTTGAAACCCTGTAATGATCAAGCTCAGG